GGGGGGGGGGGGCACCCTTAAGAGTGAAGCCTCCTCCACACCGTGGAGTTCATGTATATACTCGGTATTTCCAATGCAAGTAATTACGGGCCAGCTGTATGTATATATAGGATGGTCGCGGAATGGGTGGTTTCCACGTGCTACATTATGCATTAAGCCGAGTTTAAAATCAATTTGCTATTCGTAACTGCCGTGCAATAGTTGCTTCGGATTTGAATTAATTTATACACACACACAATCCTTGTCCGATTCGCCAGACTTTTTCATTCGGTGAATTTAACGTGTGTCTCGATAATCAATTGTATGAGAAAATACAGGCTGAGTTTATTGATGAAATTTTTTTCCGTACACCCGTTACAATTAAAAAGTGACTTCGCGCTGCCTGTCGATATCGCGGGAAATGCCGTCTGGACATATTTCCTGTAGGTGCTCGAGAGAGGGTGTAAAATTAATCAGGCCCTTCGCGCTATATCGTTTCTCGAGAGGATGGTCCGCCGTCTGTATTATACTACATATAGATCATAATTTATTTCCAGTTAAAAATCGAACGTTCACTTGTTGTAGTTCTACTGCGAGCGGTATCTTAAATACTTTTCGATATTTATACGGTTTCTTTTATGTGACGATAAACGTCAGTAAAGTCGTATGCTCGCGAGATTCAACGTGAAAACATAGCTTAAGGTGTCAGGGCGAAAGACCTACCCATTAGTCAGACATTTTGAATTTCCCTGGAGAACTCCCTTATGTCGACTCTTACTCTTCTGTATTTGACCTTACTTCGTAAGGAAGCTGTCGGCGACGGGAAGCGCGAGTCGTAAATCACGAAGAGGTTAGGACGCGATTCGAACATTATTTTTTTACCATCAACAGGGCAAGGGAATTGTATACGCGCTTATGGCAGGTGTCTAGTATACGTTGACTATATAAATCGAAAAGAATCACGTGACGAGTACCAATTATACAATATCGAACGAACGACCGGTATTCGCAAGAATATATTTCTTTCAAGGCTCCACTTTATATACAGGACGGACAGTTTCTATAGTCTTGGCGATCTCGAACCTACCAGCCCGAAATGTCCCTAGCGTCTATTCAAATTTTGACATTCCACGTACCGCGTGTCCCAATAGTCGTTCGACGGGCTTTTCGCGTATCGTTCTCACAGGAAGGACAGTAGCGATTCTCGAAAATAATATGGGAGGATGGCATGGCTGTGAGTGGGACGGAGAATCTGATGATGGGAAATGATACAGAGACTGCGAAGAATCTGAGCGCTGATCGATTAGCCACGACTTACGTAAGTCCTGGGTATTTTTTATAGATAGAATACTGACTGCGCCATTTCAAAGTCACACCTGACGCAACCTCGAGAGCCTGATAAGGCGAAAACGTAGACGCGGAACGTTACGGCAGTGTGTCTAGGGGGGCGCTGGAGGAAGGGAGAGAAACAATGTGGCAACCGACTGTTACGCGTGCTGCCACGTTTCCTCGAACAACGTGGCGATTCGGGAAAGAGAATAAGAAAATAATGACGGAATTGCTCGACGGGTTTTCGATTAAATATTCCTGCTTGATTATTTCGATCATGGCGTCACGGTCTTTGCGTCTGACAGCTTATGGAAATTTCCATCGTCGCCTTCCGTCGCCCATGCAGCTTGGGCTGGGCTTTTATCACAGCTGCGTTTCCAAGGCGGATTCGCTGCAAATGCCAAATGCCTTTACTCGAACGCCCTTTAAGTCCTCAAATCGCCGTAGTCGCGCTTTAAGTGTTAACGTGCTGTTAAACGTTTCATAGAAAGTGACTACGGCAATTCAAGCGCTTAAAGTGGCGCTTAAGTAAAAGACTTGGATTTCCCACGGAGGCAAATGGATATTTTTGACTACTGCAATTACTCGCTCTTATCACCACCTGATAAACCGTTATGTGCGCGTGATATCTTCGGAACGACCTTCGCTATAGAGAAATCAATAGACCTACATAGACCTTTGCCCAGTAATGGGGCAGCAGTTCAAAACCTACAAATCCCCCCCCCTCCCCTCTTACGAGATCGTTCTGCCATTTTGAATTTTTATTTCGCTTACGAAAAGTCACTGCTGATATCGAGTTGCAAT